GAGGAGGAAGAGACCAAGGACAAGGACGGGGACGGGACGGGGAGGCGCGGAGACCCGCGCCCAGCCTGCACCAGCCCCCGACCCCCGGGAGCCCCGGAGCCCGCCCGCTGCCACCACCCGCTCCCTCTCCCGCGCCTCCCACAGTGGTGTCCCCGGAGGCGCGGCGGACTGGCACGCGACTCGCACGCCCGCCACGGGGGCTGGGGGCTCCGGGCTGCGTCCATGTCCCCGACCCGCTGACATACACCCCTAGAGCGGGCTGGGGCCGCTCTTCGTGCCCTTTTCGGCCTACCTTGCTTGGACGAGCCCGCCAGCGCCGGCCGCCGGGTCCGGAGCCTGAGGGATGGACAGAGATGGGGCGGGGCCCCAGGGCGCGCTCCCGAGCAGCCCGGCCATGCCCGGGGCGCGCTCGCCGTTCGTTCCGACCCTGTATCCCTTTACGGCTATCGCGAAAGTGTCGTGAACGCTGCCTCCCATCAGAGTCACCCAGTCGGCTGGAGGCGGAGGTCTGGTTTCTCCCGGTGTGCTTGCTGGAGTCCAGGTAAGGCTGCGGGGCTCGGTCTTGGGAAGACAGCCAAGGTGTGAAGGACGTGTTGGGGAACACGACTCTCAAGGCGGGGGGACGGGGGGGGGTCCATGCTCTGGGTTGGGGCATGGGAATCTACTGTGTGTGGACTCGCGCAAGGCGAACGCCGTCCTTCCTCGCGCTGGGTGGCCTGGCGCGCGGAGTTGTGGGGAGAAGCAGGGGCGACTGCCCCTCTGGCCCCGGTTGGAAAGATTGAGGTGGCGAAGTGCCAGCGCGGGAGAAGGGCTGCTGTGTGCGAGCCGGGAGTCGGAGCGGGGAGAACCTCGGCGGGCCAGGGCTGGGCGGACCGAGGGCTAGAGGCGCTGCCAGCGCGGAACCGACCTTGCCCGTCATGTCCACACCCTCCTGCTCCGGTGCTGCCAAGTCCACAACCGTGTTGCATCCTGTGCCGGGGTTGCCTTCCCTTTGGAATACGGTGCTGGTGTTTGGTGGTCGGGCCACGCTTCTTGGTCAGCAACTTTTCTAGAAATTTCAGTGTCTATTGACAAGCTCTGAGATCGCCAGCTAGGGTTGACTTGAGCAGTGTTCTTGGAAGGAGAAAGGGCTGGAGGGTTGCTAGTGTTTGCCAGAGTTTTCATAAACACTGGATGAACGGGATCTTTATATTTAGCCGTGTTTAACTTATTTCCTCCAATTTGGTGCTTGGCGTTTTCATGTCATTTTTGCCGTTTGCATCATTGGTATTGAATTGACAGATTTCCATGAAGTCACCCAATTCATTAATGAATCCATATTACTATAGTAGGCAAATTCATAGTTCTTTAAACGAATATCAGTTTCTACTCTCCAGCTAGTAGGCATATGTTCAATGTGTTGAGTTGATTAAATAAGTTAGACTGTGATAAGGGCATTTAGAGCATTATTACTATGGAATCATTGGCGTTCACGTAAAATTACAGATATTGAGATTCTAAAAGCATTTTGTTGCATATTCGTTATATGCTGAGAAAAACTAGTCAAAGCACCTTGTACAACTGTCTTTACAACCCTCCCATTAAATAAGTTAGGTAAATCTGCCTCTTGCAGTAACCTGTTCTGACAGAGGCGTCTTTGTTGTCCATTTAATAGATTATTACTGAATATTTACAACTGTGGTTTTATAAACTTGTTCTTTCCTCTCCCACATCCGATCTCTCTTAAAATTTACATTATAAACACTGTTAAGTGTTTGATATATGACTGTAAACTTTTTTTTGTAACTCCAGCTACATTCTATTGCATAGTCAATTTCTTTTCTAGGCAATAGTAGACACGTTCTTTAAGCTGGCTAAAAGTGCTGGTGATGTTTTTGAGGGTCATGCTGTGCTGTCTTTTTTAAGGGAATAGGAAAATAATTTATAAAATTCCAGGTTTTTGCTTTTTTTTTCTCTGGAGGAAGTTTCCTACTTTTTGAGGAATGCAAGATTTCACTTTGGCAAAACAGGAGATCTAAATTGTGTTACACAGTACTGTTTTTGCTTCCAAGTCTACTGAAAAGGCTTTTGTTTTTACTAACTTGTTCTGTGTATCACTTGTTAAATAATGCTGAATGTGATCCTGTGATCCTGTTGGTTTTCTTTCTTTTTTTTTTTTAAACTTGGTTTTTATAATTTGCTCTGCCTCCCAAACAGTGTTGGCCATTAGTATTATTCCTTTATTGCCATAAAGGTTGGAAAGAGCTGTGTAGTCACCAATTTCTGTGAAAAGAGTGTAAACATACTGCTGAATCAGTGCAGCTCAAAACTTGGCACCTTTCGGCGTGGAGGACTGGGATTTCTGGAATCTTGACCTGCAGATTGGATATTGTGTAAGCTTACCGTATGCTCTGCTGAGTAGTGGAGATTCCTTTTTTAGTGTGTTATTTGTCAGATGTTCTCCAGTGCTGAACCAGGAATAATGTAGGTTGCATGCCATCATCCCCAGCTGCTATAAGCACAGATGTTGCACATCATAGATTTAAGGTCCACAAATTGTGTGGTTTTAGTAAAAGTACTCATTAAATGTCTCTGATTATATTTTTGTACCTTTGTTGGACTTTTTACATAAATATTCATGCCTGCACAAATAAAATTTTTTTGTTAAACCATATGTGCCCCCTCTGCTGGACTCCCACAAGTTTGTTCACAGCATGTTGTTATAACTTAGCTGTTTCTAAGACTCCCTACCCCTGCCCTTGAGCTTCTTGTAGGCATGGATGGCACATTTCAATCTTTCTGTTTCCTCAGGGTCTTGAACAACTAAGTGATCATTAAATACTAGATGAATCGCATTTGTTCATTGTTCCACAAAAAAGTACTAATTACCTCCGTATGTATGGTATGAGATTCCAGGAAAAGAATGTTGACAAGTGTGGCCCCTGTGTTCATGGAGCTTTCTGACTAGTGTGGGGAAAAAACACCACTAACAAAAACAACCAAAAAAAATGTTCAAAATGTGATAAATGCTATGAAAGGACTATTGAACTAGAAACAGGTTATAACAGAAGAGGGAAATTGGCAGATTACAAGTGGAAAAGTTACAGTAGCTATAGGAATGTGATCGATATTATAAACTGAATTCCAGGTGATGGGAATTTTTTACAGTTTAAAATTTTTACTAATATTTATGAAAACATATCCTCAGTTAACAAATGAGCTGTGCTACAAAATTATAGGCTTCTTTATAAGCTCGTTGATGGCTTTACATAACATCAGAATAAAAATTCCTTGCCATGATCTATTAACCTCTGCATTGTCTGACTTTGCAAACTTCATTTTATTCTACTCTTTCATCTGGTTTACTACTGTCCAGCCATGGTGATCTCAAAGGCACCTGAACAAGATAAGCTGTTTCTTGCCTCAGGACCTTTTCTTGGACTCTTCCTTCTGCTCTTGAAATGGCCAGTTCCTTTGGTATAAATGCTACCTCTTCATAGACTTCAACCACTTTATCTAAAATGTGCACCCCCAACCATTTTCTGCCTCCACCCTTTTTTTCCTCATAGCACCCATCACAATGTGTAATGTTATTTGCTTGTTTACCAGTTTTTAGTTATTTTCCCATTGGACACAGGAGCTGGGACCATTTCTATCTTGTTTACTGCACTCCAATATTGACTGAATGCATTTGGAACTTGTAATCCATTTTCTCATAAAAATTTACGACTGGTGGCAAGATTGCTAGACTAGCCAGCAATAATTTTCATGTCTTACATTATTTTTTTTAGTTCCTTGTAGTGTAGCAAGAAAAGGACATTTTTTTTTCTTTACCATTTCTGCATAGGCCTGGTTTAGATAAAAATCTCAAGTGACTAAAAATGATTTTTGTAATATTTGTACCTCCTTTCCATATTCCCATCCCACATCCTTTTCCCCTTTCTCTTTATATAGTTTGATCTTCCTATGATAGCCACCTACCCAGTTCTGCTTCCTTGAGATATGCATGCTTTTCATTTGCTGAAATTCACAAGCTCCTGTTTTTTCATTTTCATGAGGTGGTTTTCATGTCATAGCCCCTGAGTCTCAGGTGTGACAGGAGGAAGGAAGAGTGGAGATGAACCTGTGGTAGTGACTTCTGTGACTCTGTATTTGCTGAAAACAAAGTAGCTATCTATATGTCAGGGGCTACTTGTATCTGAATTTATATTTGCAATGGTGTTGCTGATAGCTTTACAGAGACAATGTTGCCAAATTGAAATGGTCAGAAACTCATTGCCTTCTTTTCATGTATGAATTATATAATGGCTATATCTAGTAAGGTTTGCCAAAATGTAGATTTTTCTAACAGAGAAATAAAAGGTTAAAAAAATCTAGGTCATTGGGGGAAAACACTCAGGAGGAAAGTATCACTTTATCATATAGTCCTGCCAAACGCTCAAACTTAAAACCATTAGATCAGTTGTCTGTAGCTGTTTAGTGCCAAAAGCAGGCCAGCACCCTCAATATGTCACCTTTTTTTTTTTAACAATAGAGGAATGGAACACTACAATAATAAAATATAAATTAAGTTGGCTAAACTTTTTATTCCCACTTTAAGTAGAATTCCATAAGAGCTGATCAAGTATAGATTGTAGCTCACCAAATGTGAAAATGCATCATTTAATTTGATCATAGAAAACTTGGCTACCGCAAAGCTATGTATTTTGGTTATCTGTCTGTCATTTGATCTAAAATGATCTTGTAACCGGTTAATTGACATTATATAAATATGGCTTAAAAACAGTTTTAATCCATTGCTTTATGACACAGCTGGGTGAGTGGAAGAATTCTTTGAAATAAACTTTGATTTGCCTTGGTTTGAAAAGTATCTCAATATTTTTATTTCAGAGCACTTTAGTTAAATTACACTGGTGATTCTTTTGAGATTTTTGAAATTTTATTTAAGGCAGCTAATGACTTTAAGTTTTCCTGAACCAGTTAATAACCAGTTATTGATATACATGATTGAGATTTTAGATGCTGCTTTAGATTACTAGTGACATTGAAATTTTGGAATTTGTTAGTTATGGGAATAGACGGAAGAATTCCTGGGCATGTTTTGATACTAGGTCCATTGTTGAAATGACCTAGACCCTGTATCACATTCTGTATTCCCATAGTGCAGCATTTCTGGGAAAGTCATATTGCATTATGGATAGCTTTCTACCAGAAGATCAAAGTACACCTCACTTGGTTCAATGCCACTACCCTTTTAGATCTATTAAGATCATTTCTTTTTTTTTTTTTTTTTCCTAAATCCTCTTATGGCTCCTCTTCCTCCTGCTCACTAACCATGAATTTCCCACAAGGCTCCTTGTGTCCTTTTCTGCTCATACTTAATCCCTTTGAGAACTTTTCTCCTTTTCAGACTTTAACTAGACTTTAGTTGCTAAGTTGATAACTTGAAATTTTCATCTCTTATCGAAATTTGTCATTTGATTTTGTCTAAAACATCTCTATCTAAAAGTTGCATGTATGTGTCTCATCCCCAGAGCCTCACTCCTCCCCACACCAACCCCCAAAGCCAGAATAACAAACCGATTTTTCTTTGTAAGCCTCTCTTTCAACACTAGCACCACTCATCTCTGTTGATGGCTTTTTTCCTATGCTCTTCACCGTCATATCTGATCTCTAAGTAGTTGCTCTTGACTCTTCCTTCCAAATAGAAATTACTTACAGATTAGACTGTCTTTCATATTTCCATTTTTACCACCCTACTCTAGGCCTTCACACTTCAAAACTTTGAGGTCATCATATTAATTTTTAAATGTTCCCAGTGCTTTCTCCATTCTGATGAGTACATATAACTATCCTATTAATCTTGAAAATATACTTGTCATTATCTTCTTACATTGCTTAATAACTTATAATAATCTTGTTATCTCTCATCTTTTCTAAGTTTTATGCACACTTAACTTCAGGGATTAAACCATTCTGCACGTAGACTTTTTTCGTACTACCTCAGTTCATCGGGTCACTGCTAACACATATATACTGTCCTCTTAAAGTTGGTTTTTTTTCTCATTGCGGTTTATCCCCAACTGGTATATCCCTTTACACTAGTAAGTTTTATTTTTTAATTTAGCTTAAACAGAAACCCTGTGTTTAAACCTCATTTACCAGTTGTATGAGCTTGGGCAGGTTAATTAGCCTCTCTGTGCTTAGTTTCATTTTCTGTAAAAATGGGGAAAATTAATATTCCTTACCTTCTAGGGTGTTGTGAGGATTACATGAGCTAATATAGAAAACATACTTAAATTTTTAGTATATTGTAAGTGCTTGATAAATGTTAGCTATTACCAAAAGAAAATCTTAATTTAAGACCCATGCTATTCAACTCATTCCTCTGATATTAATACTGATTTCCTAGTTCTTTGGGTATGCCTGCGGATCTCAGTTTTCATACATGTGAAATGATTAGATCATTTCTAAGATTTCTTGCATTATACTATTGAAGGCAATGTGAGATAGAAAAAAAGATCCCTGATTTTCTGATCCCTGTTTGATATTTATTACTGTTACCAGTTTGATTTTTGTTTTTAATTTACTAACATTGATATAAATAATGGCTGACAACTTTTTTTTTTCAGGTAAAGACCAGCTACAAAAAGCTATAAAAGAAGATAAATTATTCTCTCCAAATAAAAGAAAGCCAAAGCCCATGAGTGGGCATCGGTCAACAAAGAAACGATATGGAGACTCTCAGCCGGAGTCCCCTGTGGGCTTCGGGCACATGAGTGCTCCTGGGTGTGTGTTAAGTAAATTGTTTCAGTTACCTACACCACCATTATCAAGACACCAGTTAAAGCGGCTGGAAGAACACAGATATCAGAGTGCTGGGAAGTCCCTGCTTGAGCCTTTAATGCAAGGGTATTGGGAATGGCTAGTGGGAAGAGTGCCCTCCTGGATTGCCCCTAATCTCATCACCATCATTGGATTGTCAATAAACATCTGCACGACTGTTCTATTAGTCTTCTACTGCCCTACAGCTACAGAGCAGGTAAGAGGAATTTCTTAACAGCACATATGAACGTTTGTTATATACCTGAAACTCTGTAATTGGAATTTCTAGGTCATTTTAGCTAAAGATAAGATAGCCTGACAGCTATTTGTCAACTGTTTTAAAATATCCTATTACACCACTGTTAGTCAAACTCATAACAACAACCTACTTTATACACTATGCTTATGAGAAACCAGAAGTAAAGGGTGGACTCTGATCTTAGTAGATAAATTAATGTTAGCAGGGATTAGCATGTAAAATGTTCCTTTTAAAATCAGTAAACCTCAGTTCTTTACAAAAGAGTTTTGTTTCTTTTCTTTCTTTCTTTTCTTTTTGAATGGTTGGATAAAGTCTTAGCAAGTTTAAAATGATCACAGAGAAAAGTGTGGTAGTTAAAAGCCTGTGGCATGGCCATAAATTAATCTTATCAAAATTATTTTCCTCTCCATTCCTCGGGGAATTGAATATCGCTTTTCCAGTAAACATATGTGGCTGATAGAACTCAGGTATATCTCTGTTATTCTAACATGACAACAGAAGTGTAAGAAAAAGTCAATAGAACGTGTTTTCTGCATATCCTGCAGTGGCTGCCGTTAAGAAAGGGAGGAAGCCTGGGATTGCTACAAAGACTCACCCTGGGCCTTCTAAATACAAGTCTCTACTGCTGTTCCCTTTTTACCCTGTGTACTCATTACTTAAAACCAAAACTGAAACTAGAACCATTCATCAGAATGGGATAATTGATGTTTATGTTTTGGGTTTAAAATTTTCCTTGTCAAAAATAAACTAAGGTAGTTAGGTAGATGAAGAGAATCAGAAACATTTGTTGTGCCCGTGTTAATCAGAATGACCAGTAGTAACGGAACCCAAGAAGATAGGTGATAACCCTCAACTGAAGGGGTCAAAAGTGATCCTGAACCATATGTCATAATGGCCACAACATTCCTTGTCTTGTTTTAAGCTTGAAGTAACAATTTTTTTAAAGTAATCTTTTCAGATGATTTGTTAAAATTGTCCCCATTTAACCCTCTGTCTTCTGTTGTCATCAATTCCTAGTTACTTAGTTGGTTTTTCTTCCTCCCAGATGCTCATCTCCCCCTCATTCTTGAATAACTTCAGTTCCTCTTGTATCTTACAAATCTAGTCCATACAGATCATATGGATATATTTCTGGTTTTTCTTCATTTTCTCAACTATCTTGGAAACTTAAAAAACAAAAGCCAGTATGATTGCTTAACTATTGTTGGGTTAGTTTCCCAGGATAGGCACCAAAGAGTGATATAGGACAGGGCAGGATGGATGAGGGTACTGGGACATGACCTGCTTGCTGGGGGCAGGGTAACGCCCTGTTCTGGGAACCTGTATGCCTGGGGCACAGAGGAGGCCCAGGCCGGTCCATCAGATGGTTTCCAACGGGGTATTCGGGAAGCAATCTCTATTCTGATCCAGATCTAGATGATGGGTCCTGCATCCGTTAGGCAGCAGTCATGTCTGCAATAGTCTCCTCCACAAATACCAGGGGTGCCAAAAAAATGTACACAAGTGGACACTTTGTAAAACGTTGCTCAAGCAGTAGTTTGCCGTAATCAGAAGTGTCTGGACGCTGATGGGAACCACTTTGAGCACCTCTTGTAATTGCAGAAGTCAAACGTGACTTGTATTCATCTTTTGTTTTCAGTACATATTATTACAATTTTAATACAGTTTTCCTTTCTTAAAATGAGTATACATTTTTTTGGCACCGTCTGTTGTACTTGGATTTTTTTTGTGTGTGTGTGGTTGGGGAAAGTTGGGTGACGCTTTATGCTTTATTGCTTTAGGCCATGAAGGTTGGGGGTTGGGGGCAGTGCTCAGGAGCTCTTGTTGGAGTGAGTCCGCTTCCTTTTCAGGCTTCTGGCTGTGCAGGAAGGCTCTGGCTCTGCAGGAAGGCTCTGGCTCTGCGGATGGCAGCCACGCGCAGGTCTGGGCGGTACTTATTCTTGCGGATCATGTGCCTGGCGTTCTTGTTCATGGTGGTCCGCACATAGGAGGTGGCCAGCTTTTGCTGGCCAGATCTCCGCTTCATGACAACCACCACACCTTTGCCTTCCCCAACTGGCTCCACGCCTGCTGTCTTTCGGTAAATCAGCTGGTTGTAGTGGAAGGAGTTGCGGGCCCGCAGATTATTGGGCTCGGTGCTGTACGTCTGCTTGTTCCTTTCCATCAGGAAGCTGGGGCCATTGCGCATGACCAGCCATTGCAGATGCCTGGACATGGCGACAGCTTCTCTCGCTGCAGCAGCCGGAGACAGAAAGAGCTGTCCTTGGATTCTTTATTACATGTCCTTTGAGCTGTTTTACCTGTGGCTTACTTGAGGACCTAATAGCTGCTTCCAGAGGAATTTGGTCTAGCTCTCACACATCCTTAGAGATACAGAAGAATAACAGGGAAGTGGGTTGATTCTCCTACAAGCCTTCCAATAGTCCTAAACTAGCTCCAAGGATGAGTATCAGGGATGAGCGCAGGTTTAAAGGTAGCTCAGCCACTAACAGTCATTTTCTAAACACCCAGAGTGTACCAGGCACCATGTTCCCCTATAGTACTTTTCAGCCTTATTCTTAAGTATGTACTTTGGAATTATTGAGTAACTCTAGAAGTAGTTAAATCTTTGGGAAAATTGCCAGCATAGGAACTACTCTGATGACAGAACTTTTCAGAATTGCTGCTGGGAGGAAACAGGTAGGCAGAGCCACTGTCTGGTGCTCTGCACTAATGTTCAACAAAGGCTATACCTGGGTGCATTGGGTGCATTTATAGCTGCACAGTAGAAACCCTTGTTAGGCTTAGATCGGAATGTATTAAAGTAGGCCATGGCTGTTTTTCATGACCTGCCTTTTTATCTCTGTGATCATTGGTAAATTATGTGTAAAGTCTCCAAGTCACATTTTATCTATCCTTTTAGTACCTTATTTTAGAGTATTTTGAGGATTAAGAAGATCATGCATTCAAAGTGCCTAGCGTATAATGCTTAATGAATGGTAGATGGTTATTTCATTAGTCAGAAAGATAAAGTATATAACCTGGTTTTCCACAACCCACTCCCATTCCAGATTTCTTCTAATAATACATTATATATGGAATCAACAAATTCATCTATTTTTTCTTATATTTTTTAATCAGTGTTTTGAAGTCAAAGGATTACATGAATTTATTGCTCAGTAAAATTCTCATTCATTATAGCTCTTAATTCTTTTGGGGCCTTATACCAGTGGGTGAGCATTAAATTTCATATCTACAGGTATTATGAATTTTCTGGGTTTTTTTTTTAAGATTTTTATTGGGGAATTGGGGGAAGGGGAACAGACAAGTTGCTGTTGTTTTGTTCTTCAGTCTAGTTGTGGAGGACGTTGCTTCACTGGCCCAAGTTGGCACCATCATTGCGCTCTTTCCGGGCAAGGCAGATCAGTCGCCGGCTTCTGGACGGCCGCTCACTGAGGCTGTTGGCCAGTCACGCTGGCTGCTGTCTACACACGGTAGCCCATGGCAACCCACTGCCACAGGGGCTGCAGCCCACGCCGTTGCAGGCGACTCATGGCAGCCCAGCTCCAGGTTGAGCTGTTGTTCAGCATCTTAGCTGTGGAGGGCAGTGTCACTGGCCCTCATATGTGGGATCCGAACCGGGGCCCTCTGGCGTCCCAAGCCAGTGCTTAACCAACGTGCCACTCGGCCGGCCCCCGTATTTTTTTTAAGTTACTAGTTTTTAAAAATAATTTACAGGGCCAGCTGAGTGGCACGTTGGTTAAGAGCTGGCTTGGGACGCCAGCTATGAGCAGCAGGGCCCCAGTTCGGATCCCACATGAGGGCCAGTGACACTGCCCTCTACAGCTAAGATGATGAACAACAGGACAGCAACTTGTCTGTTCCCCTTCCCTGATTCCCCAATGCTGTGCCCCTCTTCCAATTCCCCAATCTAAAAAAAAAAAAAAAAATACATTACAGCTTCAGATATCAATCTCTGGAAAAAAAGAATGTCACTATTATAATGGTTTAAGCTGGGTTTACCTTCTTTTTATTAGAAAAAAATAAACTTTCCAGTAGATAAGAAAGGAAAACGAGTCATTTTTCAACCTCCTAAGGTAGAAATGTATATCAAAATATCCTCTTGATCCATTTCCATTACTAAATATTTAAACCTATTTTATACACAGGAAAACCAGTACTGAGCTATATGCTATTACCGATAAGAACTCTATCAGGTTTAAATATAACTTTTTGGAATGTGATTAAGTGTGTTTTGTTTTAATGCTCATTTGTTTTTGTTTTTATATTGCTAAATTTAATGCTTTTGATTTAACTCAGTAAAAAACTTGTTAGATTTCTTTAAACTATAGAAAATGGGAAGATAATTAAAATGGTACATTGCATAATCTCATTATCCAGTTAACTCCTTTTAACATTAAAAAGGAAGGGGAAAATTACATAGTTAGAAATATTCACACAGAAAGGTGTAAAACAAAAGTAAAATCTTTCCTTTTTTACCTAACTTTCCTTCTTACCCCTCCTTCCAGTTCAGTTCCTCTCCTCATACATAACGTTTAACAATTTTTTGTTGTATTCTCCTAGGAAAACAAATATATCACTCTTGTATCAGCATATTTGAATGTGTATGTAAATCTCTCAGTTCTTTTTCAAAAGCTCAGTAAAACCTTATGTTCCTTAGAATTTTTCACCTGAGTTGACTCACATAACAACATCTCTGCAAGATTTTGCAAGTTAGTTAATTGCCAGATTGTGATAAGATTATTTGCTTATGCCAGTTCATCCCCACCCAATTATCAGGGTGTAATAATGGTTTCCTGACTGATAGATGAGTTCCTTCATTCATTTAGTGTACCTCCAGGCTCCTAACCCAGCTGACGCCATACTCATTCCTGAATGAGAAAGCTACTTCTTAAAACACCCCTGAGATTGTGAAATAATGGGAACAAGGAAGAAATGTATAAATATTAGTGTTTTACAGATTCACAGGAAGAAAATAACTCAAAGACAAGGCTCTATGCTCTATTTTTTATATTGGGTTGTCGGAAAAATCATGACATTTTTTCTACGTTTTTCATTGCAAAAATGCATCATGACTTTTCCGACAACCCAATATATATAATTACTATCTTGCTGTTTTATAGGATTAACTGTATACTAATAGTTGAAGTTGTCTTTGTTCCAGAGGAACACTTTGCCCCATTAAAGCCCTAAGTTTAGACCCCAAGAAGTCCCTAGTTTTCTAGTTCCCTAAAGCCGTACTACTTGATAGGAATTTCTGTGATGATGGTAGTGTTATGTCTGTGTTATCCAATATGGTAGCCATAGCCACATGTGGCTGTTGAGTACTTGAAATGTGTGTAGTGCAACTGAGGATCTGAATTTTTAGTTTACTTAATTTCAATGAATTTAAACTAAAATAGGCACATATGACTAATATGCTACAGTATAGCACAGCCCTGCTGTAGAGTTACTGGATTCCTTAAGGAGCAAGGAGCAGTAGACCCAGAGTCTAGAAGATGGTGTTCCTGGTCACACAAGATTAATCACTCAGCCCAGCGTGCTTGCATGTAAACTGGTTACATAACCACAGGTACTGCTTTCTGGGTTTGTAAGCCTGGCTTGGGGGAGGTATATACCTAGTCCTTTTACAGCCTCAGTGTTCTAAAATAGGAGATTCAAAGAAAATATTTAAGAGAAGAGTCTTACCATTATTTTTTACTTTTTAAAGATTTTATTGGGGAATTGGGGGAGGGGAACAGCGTTGGGGAATCAGAGAAGGGGAACTGCCAAGTTGCTGTCCTTTTATTCTTCAGTCTAGTTGTGGAGGACGCCGCTTCACTGGCTCATGTTGGTATTGTGATCATTGCATTCTTTCCCGGCTGAGGCAGTCGGTCTCTGGACGGTGGTTCATGGCAGCTCACGCAGGCTGCCGGCCACTTATGGTAGCTCATGGCAGGCCACTGCAGCCCCACTGCAACCTATGCCATCACTGGACTCAACGGCAGCCCAGCTCCAGGTCGAGCTATTGTTCACCATTTTAGCTGTAAGGGTGCAGCATCACTGGCCTATGTGGGATCCAAACCGGCAGCCCTACTGCTGTGAGCTCGCGCTCTCAAGCCAACTCTTAACCAATGATCCATTCAGCTGGTCTGAGCCTTACCTTTAATAACTGGGAACTAAAGAGATCTCTATCAGAGAGAAACCTCTTTACAATGCAGAATATACTGAATATTATTTGCAGCTCTAAATAGTTTTAATTTGCAGCTCTGAGCATTTAATACAAGTTTAAGAGGGCAGCTGGTTAGCCAGTTGGTTAGAGCGTAGTGCTCACAATACTAAAGTTGCCAGTTCGCTCCCCACATGGGCCACTGAGCTGTGCCCTCCACAACTAGATTAAAACAACTACTTGACTTGGAGCTGATGGGTCCTGGAAAAACACACTGTTCTCCAATAAAAAAAAAAATACAAGTTTAACTTGATAACCAGTACCTGAGGAAAATATCTTGTGAATATAATAATTTTTCATGGCCTGGACATAGGGAAATACTGAAAAGTGATACAAAACACTCCTCTTTATTCTTAAAGAGAACAAACCAAATAGAAACTTTCCTTTTTTAATGTACAACTTTTAAATTCAATATTAGTGATTTAATTTCTGTCTGGAAGAAAATCTATTCCCTGAAAATGTGACCATAAGTATTGGAAAAATATTGTTCTAAGCACTCTGTGTACATGATCGTTATTTTCCTAGTGTTGTTCCAGTGTGTTTAAAAGTAAGTTACATGCTCAAATAAATTTGGAAGATGGCAACATATTGTGTCCTCTTTCTTGAATATTCACAATATGCATTAGCAATATTAAGGGCTAGAAGAAGTCCTGTAGAGAAATCTGTTTAACATTGTTTAACCCAGTGTTTCCATGAATGTAGCATGGAAATTTTTTTTCACGTAATACCTATAAACGCCTTGAAAGGTAAAATTTGGCGAAAAGTGTACTAGATTATTCACTCATTGATTCCTAGAGTCTTAATGTTAGAAGAAATCTTATGGGAGGCAACTGTGAAGTGAAGTGGTTATCCAGCATCTGCTTGAGAAGCCCTACTAAGGATTTCAATTCTGTTACAATTCGGATTGTTTCAAAACGTTTTTCGTTACGTAGCACTTGGATCTTCTCTCCTATAGCTTCCAGCCAGTAGTACCACTCTGGAGAATGAAGATAAAATACCTGCAAGAAAAAAAATATTAACCAAGCATAGTAGCTGGTATGTCTTAATACTATTATTTTATTTCACAGGCACCTCTGTGGGCATATATTGCTTGTGCATGTGGCCTTTTCATTTACCAGTCTTTGGACGCTATAGATGGGAAACAGGCAAGAAGAACCAATAGCAGTTCTCCTTTGGGAGAACTTTTTGATCATGGTTGTGATTCACTATCAACAGGTATTGATTTTTTTCATGTTAATGATTAATAGTAATAAAAGGAATGTGATAAACAGTGTTAGAATAAATAAGAGGTTTATGGTGTTTTAATAGCTATCAGAATAAGAGATTTTGTATTAAGTTTTAGTATTTTCAAAACACTAAATCTGGTTAATCTTTGTTCATTATAGGCTGTATTGGGAAATTTAAATTTTATGTTAATTTCTACTTGTTATATTTTTAACTCTGAATATAATTGTTTTGGGGACCTTTTATTTTTAAAGTCTTAGGGCATAATTGTCATCATCAAAAATCTCATAAGGGGCCGGCCGAGTGGCACAATGGTTAAGAGCTTGGGATGCCAGAGGGCCCTGGTTCGGATCCCACATATGAGGGCCAATGACACTGCCCTCTACAGCTAAGATGCTGAACAACAGCTCAGCCTGGAGCTGGGCTGCCGTGAGTCGCCGGGCGACGTAGTAGGCTACAGCCCCTGTGGCAGTGGGTTGCCATGGGCTACCGTGTGTAGCCAGCAGCCACAGTGAGCGGCCGTCCAGAAGCCGGCGACTGATCTGCCTCGCCTGGGAAGAGCGCAGTGATGGTGCCAACTTGGGCCAGTGAAGCAACGTCCTCCACAACTAGACTGAAGAACAAAACAACAGCAACTTGTCTGTTCCCCTTCCCCCAATTCCCCAGCACTGTTCCCATCCCTCCAATGCCCCAATAAAAATCTTTAAAAAAAAGAAAAATCTCATAAGTTATAGATGAGAATACAATAGTGGGAGACTAGGAAATTCCTAGTCTTCAGTTGATTTCTTGTCATTTGGCATAACATTTAAGGTATTTTAACACATTGTTTGTGGGAAACGAGTAAACTCGTCATAGCGCTTTTTATACCAAAGCGTGGGAGACGAGTTAACTCAGGTATAGAGACCTCTTCGTTACGACGCAATTTGGCGGGAAAATGCCCACTTACAAAGTGTTAAAAGAAACAAACAAAACCCTTGATAGTAATACCTCTTGAACTCAGATTTGCAGATGTAGGTGCATGTTAAAGTTATAGTTTCAGTGTATCCTGACATCAGGAGGAGAAGGAATAGCTAAGATCTTATAAAAACTTTTAAGATGCAGAAAAACTCAAAACTTCCACTGACAAAGGCTAGTTTGGCATCTCAAAAGGCTGTTTTAATTTAATTAGGCAACAATGGAATGATAGGTATCCTATTTTTTATTTTAAGTGATAGTCATTTTTGTGCTATAGAATTCCAAACTTTTATAGAAAGTATTTTTTCTATGTGTGTCACCCATAATATCTGCTAAATAAGAAGAGACAGCTATCAATCTGAAGCAAGTAGGTTCCTTTGAATTATCTAGGCCTATTTATTTTTCTTTTCTTTTTTTTTTTAAGATTTTATTGGGGAGTTGGGGAAGGGGAACAGCCAAGCTGTTGCCCTTCAATCTTAGTTGTGGAGGGCGCAGCTAGCTCAGCTCCAAGTCCAGTTGCCATCCGGCCACCTGTCAGCAGCTGAGCACAGCTCAGCTCAAGGTGCCGGCCGTGTTCAGTCTTAGTTGCGGGTGAGTGTAGCCTAGCATCCCATGCGGGAGTCGAACCGGCAACCTTATTGTTAGGAACATGTGCTCTCACCAGCTGAGCCATCCTGCCACCTGTTGGCAGCTCAGCTCGGGTGCAGCTCACTGGCCCATGTGGGAATCCAACCGGGGGCCCTGTTGCTCAGAGCTTGCGCTCTTAACCAACTGAGCACACTGGCCTATCTAGGCCTTTTGTTTTTCTTTCTTTTTTTTTTTTTTAAAGATTTTTTTATTGGGGGAATTGGGGAAGGGGAACAGACAAGTTGCTGTCCTTTTGTTCTTCAGTCTAGTTGTGGAGGACGCCGCTTCACCGGCCTATGTTGGTATTATCATTGCGCTCTTTCTGGCTGAGGCAGATCGGTCGCCGGGCATTGGACGGCCGCTCATGGCGGTTCACGCTGCCAGCTGCTCACGCTGGCTGCCGGCCACTCATGGTAGCTTACGGCAGCCCCGCTGCAGCCTACGCTGTCGCCAGCTACTCACAGCAGCCCAGCTCCAGGTGGAGCTGTTGTTCACCATCTTAGCTGTAGAGGGCGCAGCGTCACTGGCCCTCATGCTCAGAGCTCATGCTCCCAAGCGAACTCTTAACCAATGCGCTGCTTGGCCGGCCCTGTTTTCCTTTCTTTTTTATTCTGCCTTGTAATTTTTTACTGCTCATTATTACACTGTAACTAAATTCGGAGAATACTCAAAAAAAGTGCTCAAGTATTTTAGTTGCCTTCAAGAACTTTGTTCCATTATGTGGTATAGTGAAAGAAGAGATTGAAATTATGGGGTAAAATATAATGTAAAAGATTATATTTTACTTTCCTGTTACCATAGATAACTGAGAAAAGATTGTGCATTTACAGCATACCTTCTTTTTGCCTCATTTAAAATCGTTTCTATCTCAATGCTTGTTAAACAGATTGTTCGATTTTCACTGTGATCTGTCTTTTGCAGTTTTTGTGGTTCTTGGAACTTGTATTGCGGTACAACTGGGAACAAACCCTGATTGGATGTTTTTTTGTTGTTTTGCTGGGACCTTCATGTTCTATTGTGCACACTGGCAAACATATGTTTCTGGAACATTGCGATTTGGAATGTAAGTAACACTTACTCAAGATTTTGTTTTCTCTTTCAAATATGGAGAATGTTGCTTTTAGGTATTTGAGTATTAAGAATTGATCAAACCACAAAATTAGCTTAGTAAATAAAAGAAGTTGAAAACCCTCATTACTATAGCTATTACCTAATGGTCTCGATCACTTGTCCTTCTATCACACTTTTTTTTTTTTTAAAGGTTTTTATCGGGGTATTGGGGGGATGAGAACAGCGGTGGGGAATTGGGGGAAGGGGAACAGACAAGTTGCTGTCGTTTTGTTCTTCAGTCTAGTTGTGGAGGACGTTGCTTCACTGGCCCAAGTTGGCACC